CCCCGGGGGCAGGGCCCGGCGGCAGCGCCGGGGGGCAGGCCCGGCTCAGCCTGGGGCTGGCAACGGTAATGCTGAGGAAGGACCCTCGAAACACAGTGAGACTCCAGAGCCTCCCGTTTCTCCGGTAGAAATCTTGCAGATAAACTCCCCCGTGGCAAGCAGAAGCATCCCCACAAAACGTGCCCTTGGCACAGGGTGATGGCGCCAGCGCTCACCGAGAGGGGCAGGTAAGACAGAAGCCCAGCCTCTTGCCTAAGGCCTGAGGCTTCAGAAGTGTTAGGGACAGTCATCTCTTCGGAAATTTCCACGCAGCCTCTGCAGCCTTTAAGCGGAGGAGGAGTGGTGTTGGCTCTATCACATTGCCAGTACAAGCTGCTGAGGTGATAGAAAGCAAGCTTGGGAGCTGTGCTAGAGTCACAGAATCACAGAATCTGAGGTTGGAAGAGACCTCTGGAGACCACCTAGTCCAACCCCCCTGCTCCAGCAGGGTCACCTAGAGCACGTGGCACAGGGTGGCATCCAGGCGGGTTTGGAAGGTCTCCAGAGAAGGAGACTGCACAGCCTCTGCTCAGCCTGTTCCAGTGCTCCTGTCACCCTCCCAGTCAAGAAGTTTTTTCCTCATGTTCAGGCAGAACTTGTGTTTCCGTTTGTGCCCATTGCCTCTTGTCCTGGTGCTGGGCACCACCGACAAGTCTGGTCCCATCCTTGTGACACCCTCCCTTTTCAGACACTTACACCAATGGACAAGAAGGACTTGTTAGTGACCAGAGCTGGGCCACCTTTCATTTCAGATTGTAGAGAAGGCCTTTTCATAGTTGAATATGATCTTACCTCATATACTTATGGGCTAAGTTCCAGCTGAGTAGAGCATACTATCCAAGAAGCAAAGCAGAGAGAGTATTTGTGATGCAAGACAGCACTTAGACTTTGTGTAGTTGACCACGTTCCTATGCCCATTATGGCAACCCTAGTAGAAATATTCCATAGATAAGTTGAAGTACCATATTTTAAGATTTTTTTTTAATTCAGGATTTTTGAAATTAGTAGAGGGCATTATTCTGAATAGCTTATTGCAGCTTATACAGAAGACATCTCAGGTGCTGATAGCAGACTGTGACATGTGACGTATGTTAAAGGTATCTCTAACATAGCATAGCACAAAAGCCAAACACTGCATCAAAGCTTCAAGTACAAATCTCCCCTCCTCTCAGTATGTGTATTTAGTGTTCTTTCCAAGAAGTTTTTGTAGGGTAACTTACACAGAACTGAAAGCAAAACAGATGTGCAGACTTCACAGAAAGCTTGGAGAAGGAAGAAATAGGAATCATATTTGGTATCTGTGCATTTTTTTCTCCCACAAACTTCTCAATTTTAAATTTCAGCTTTCATTTTGTTTTCCTTTATGGTAAAGGGCAAGGTTTTTCTTTTACTACTGATAACCTTTAAGGCACTCCACAGGAAAACTTTACATACCTGTAATTGTTCTGTAATATATTGTCCTGCTCATTAAAATCTCAGAACGACATTTTACCTGCAATGTTTTCTTATACACGAAACATTTCCTGCCCTAGACACTGGTAATTACTACTAAATTTATTTATTTATTTTTTACTAAAGAGATTGATAGGCTCTCTCACAATACTGAGTGGAAATAAGATTGTCACATTCCCTAGTAGGTTAGTAGTTCTCACATGAGTTGACATTGCCATCTAATACATCCATGTATAGCATGTCATAATGTTTTGTTAATTCTGTTTTTAAACAGCAAGATGCACGCAGCCAGCTGCAGCTGTCCTTAGATTATACCTCAGCCCAGAAATGGTTATACAACTTTGACTAACGATCATTACATAAAGTACAACTGCTTTCCTACTAAGATTTAATTTGGGTCAAGAAATAAAGAAGCAGTAGAAATGGAATTTGTAATATTTTGTAAATAGATTTTGTATATATGGAATTTGTAAGTATTTGTAAATATAAGTCTGGTAACATTATTTATGTAAAGCCTTTAAGTGCCTATGCAATTCTGGCCATTCATACAGTGAAGTCTACTACTTTGTGAAAGGTGCTACTTTGCCCAGAAAATCAGATTATGATCAGCCATAAGCATATTCTGGAAGTTTCTATATGATGTTCCCCAAATTCAACATACTCTTCAAAAGCAGGAGGGAGAAACTTCCTAAGCATGGGAGGGTACAGATACCACAGTTCATCCTCCCTCTACTACAGCGAGAATAAGAGCTGCTGCTTCACAACACTTAATTAAGAAGACTATAACCTACTTAAGGGGTGGGAAAAAAGATATCTCTGCAGCTATATATAATGAGGTTATAAGGAAGATTCTTTTCATCCCTCCCTTTTAATCCTAGCCATAATCTGAATTGGAAAAAGAAATATTCACATTTTTAAAAACAAGAGTTAACAAAGCTGTCTTTGCAAGCCTGAGCTACACTGGGAGCGTCTATCTCCTAGTACTAGAGTTACAAACCTGCCCTTCAAGTACTGAACAGCACATTTACACCCTCAGAAGAAAAGGAAATTCTGAGATGAGCATCGTTGGCCTGAACCTGCAGCTTTTTCGCTGCTCCAGTTATAGCCAGAAGGCAAATGTAAGGAATGATTCATTACAAAGTATTCTCCTGAGACAGGCACTAAAGAGCATGAATAAACTGGATTTGCAGAACAAATGGGGTTCCCCAGCCTGGGGCAAGGGGATGCAGCGGAGAGCAGAGCAAGATGGGTTATTGCAGGGCTGAGTGCCAGCCACCTGCTCCTGCACATGCACCTGGCCCAGAGCAGGCTCCAACCCTCTCTTCAGCTACTTACCACCCAACAAAGCTTTATTCCCTTCCTGCTATTTAAATTTCATAACTGAAAATCCAAGCTTTGACACACACAGGTCAAATATTTTCTTTACTCTCTAGTGAGGAAAGTGTGGAGCTGCCAACTGGCCATTTAAATGGCAGACAGAATTCTGGATACAAGAGAAAAAAAAAAGACACAAGGCATGTTTGGCATTCAGGAATTGCTCAGCTGTTTGGAAAGCGACCCACATTACTCAGTAGAGTTAACATGCACATTTATGCTCATAGATACAAAAGGTGAGACAAATGGTTTGATTTTTGGAACTACTTAAATTTAGTTGAAGGCATTCTTTTGTATAAATTACCCAAAGTGCATTGTGGTGTCCACTTGGTTAACCAGCCTTATAGTGGTGCAGGCTGTAGAAGCCCACAAGTGTATTTTATTCTGTCCCCAGAGTCACGCAGGTAGGAGCAACAGTCACTGTAAATTGTGCCAGGAGCTTTGGTCTTCAGTTTGCATGTTTTGGTTGATTAAAATAAAAGTAGGGAAGGTGAAAAGGAAGGGGAAGCAATATCTCTTAAACCCAAACCCTTCTGCTTGCCCCAAGCACACAAAATTGGGAGATCTAATCATCATGGAGATTTAAACTCCAAGTATATGTATATAGTTACTATTCTTTTGGAAATGCTAGTACCATGGTCTTTGTCTTCTTTAGCCTAGCAAAATACTGATACCAAAAAAAAAAAAAAAAAAAAGAAAAGGCTTTGAATACAGAAGAGGTCGAATCAGTTAATAAATATATATATATCTCAATCATAAAACTACTAGTACAAGAAGCTCTTGAAACATCAACTACTCTTTCAGTAGATACTGGGGAATTCCAGAGTCTGTTTCTTCCCCCTTCCCCTCAAAGTAAAGACAGTATTGCTTCCGTTTACTCCAAAATCTACCTTGTAAGGTCTATTTTTTTTTTTCTTTTAAATGTAATAAGAGTCAGCCGGCATACATATGTTTTGCCTTTACCACGTTCCTGAAGAAATGAAGCTTACCAGGTCATACTGCACCAGCTCCTTGACAGACAAGTTTATTGAACATTTTTAAAAGCAGATATTCTGAATATTCCATCAATCCCAACAGATCAGAGAAAAGCAACTGTTCAGTGTCCAAATGAAGTGTGCATGTTACAAATTGTACATTTTTCATATACTCATTTATACCACATGACATGAGCATAAAATACAATGATTCTTATGTCATTTCAGTATGCCAATTTATTGCTACAGTTCCCAAGCAAGTAGGGCACACCTGGAAATAGATCTTAATCCAAGGCCATTACAGCTGTTCCTAATCCTTGGACCACCCCAAGATCAAGTCACTAGTATTCAATGTAAATCAGCTCATATATTTAAAGGGTCTTCATTTTAATTTACAGCTAAATTAAGCATTTTGTAAGACTGTATTCTTAGTTATACTTACCGCTCAGTACATTTGAAGCATTTACTATAATATAAATACTTCAAATCATGGGAGATAGCATTTTCTTCACCTTCATTTTGCTTGACATCTTTAGTTACACCAATCAGATGAACAGGTTCCATGTATGAAGTTATAAGAAAAAAAAAGTGGGGGAGCAATTAATTTGACCAATTTGTCCAGGGAATTAAGGTCCAGAGCCCATAGGTGACATATTATCCCTCCCAAACGATAGTTGGAGATTAGCAAGTGCCGTCACGTATCCTTGTGCAGTAATCACAAGCTCTTATTGTCTACCAGTGTTAAAGAAATCTTCAGAGTCCCGATTCGGGTTCTCTTTTCCGGTCTGTTCCCAAGAACAGCCTTAAGAGCTCCACATTCTGAATGCAAATCAAAGTTTAGCTCTTCAAATCCGAGTCCAGCACCAACACTTTTTAAAGGTCAGATTCCATTTGAAAGTCAACAATTTAGGTCAGACAATTTCCACATATAAGTATCTTTTGCCAGCCCTTTTGACCAATAATATGATCATTTCATTGTCAAAATGATTTTTTTTTTTTTTAGCAAATGAAAAGCTTACTTCAACAGTAAAAGATCTCTATATCCAGTGTGAAAGTAACATGGTGGTATAAATATATGCATTCATTGTATTACACATAATATATTACACACATTCCAGTTAACCATGGAACAATTAGAGTAGATGACTACTAGTCAAGGGTACAGAGTGTTTTTGTAAACAAGATTGAGAAATTTTGAGGAAAATCTGATTTGGGGAAAGATGATAATCTTGGGTTTCTGTTTTTAATTTCAAAGCAATCTTTTTTTTAAGGATGCTGTATATAAGAATGCACTTTGTATTAAAACAAGGATCAATACTTTACAGTTTTAAGAAACTTTACATATGTACATAAATTACACATCAGGAATGGTTTTAAAGCTCAAAATGAGTTGTCAGAAAAGTTCTATTTCCCTTCTATTAAAATCTTTAGCTCTTTTACGTTGTGATCATTTGCAACTGCCACAGCATGATCCAGTGCTCGGATACTTGCTAGAAGCTTTATTATCTGCTTTATGTTCTCCCTAAATAAGAGGAAAAGGAAAAGTCAAGACAAGAACTAAACAATATTATACCGGTATTAGTATTCTAACAGATAATCTCCTTCCTTTCCTTCCCCCCAAAACCATGAGTGTGAATGGGTTCAGCAAAGCAGTTTCAAATAGTTTCACATTACCTTCTAACCTACTTGCTTACTAAGAAAAAAATAAATTGATTATCAACTTTATGTACCAAATTGCTTGCTTTGTTTGGGGTAGCAACTCTGTAGAGAAAGAGGGAGCAGGAATTAAATCACACATATCTATATGTGCTATTGTTAATAGCACATATATATATATATATATACACACATTATATAATATAAAAGCAGTACGATCTAAAGAAAAAGTCTTAGATTATGTAAGGTATAAGTTATAGCTATTAACAATTTTTGGTTTTGCCCACCCCCCAAAAAAAAATCAAGCACAAAAGTATTTTCATGCATGCCTTAAAAAGGCAAGAAGTTTGCCACAAATAAACCGCATTTCAATTCAAGTCAATCCAAGTAGTTCGGAGTGAACTAACTGCTTGGGGAGAGGGGTATGGGGGTTGTCTGAGCTTCCTAAGATGCTAAGAACATTTTTAGTGTCTTAGAGGGACGGCAGAGATGAAATTTAAATCTCAGACAATGCTAGAGGTCAAAAATTCATCTTAAAAGTGCAACTGTTTCTCAAAAAAAAAAAAAAAAAAAGGCACCACAAATTGGGGAACATCACTACCCCCCCTCTCAGAAGGAATCACTTAAGATAGAACTGCACTGGTTTTCACATGAATAGACACGATAACTTTCAGTTATTCAGTGTTATACTTCTGTTGCAGACTCGTTTCATCTGCTTAATGGAGCAATGAGAAAAGATTTATTAAATGCATGAAAATAGCAGGAAGTCAGAAAATAGAAATTAAACTAAAACTCACCATAGGGAAAAAAAGTATTAATTTGCTATTAATCTTCCAATACAAAAGTTCTACCAAGTTTTGGGAGACAAGTTCAGTTGGCAAAGAGAGTTCTTTCCTACTTAGAAACTGGCTATCAAAAGAGAAGGTAAAGTTTAATCTCTACTGGATTCTCTCTGAAGTCCTTTAATGGATTCCTATACCGGGCTAGTGCAGGCAGTTTGGTTTCAGAAAGGAAGGAGTAAAGGGTCTATTTTGGGTTTGGATCATATGGGGAAATTTAAATTGGTACATGGGATTAAATTGATATGTGACAATTATTATTATACTGCAGACACTTGGGAGTGGATAAAAAGTAGTTTCAGCATGACCCAGCATGGCACAAAGCTTTGCTTTGCTGAAAATTGGATGATTCATATGCCAAACTGAAAAGTTACTCTTTTAACAGATAAATGTCCAACAACATAGTAACCGGGATTTTTGAGACTCCAACCAAAGAAAGTTATCGACTGTACCAGAAAAAAATCCTTAACCAAGATTTCTGTCCATTACATTTCAAAGATAATTCTATCTCTACATATGAGAAGTTAATAGACTCTCAGATGACAGAAAAAGAAAAGGTAAGTAATAACAGGACTTTCATACAGTATTATTCCAAAAGCATAATTCGTAATTCAGAAGCCATTATGCAGGAATCAACAACAGGCTCAGAGGATAGAGTCCAAAAGAGTACCTAAAAAATTTTCCAGAATCAAGTAGTGCAAAATATATTTTGAATATCTGAGAATTTCTAGCAGCTGCTGTTCACCACCACCTTAAAAAGCACCATCTATCATGCCATAAGAAAGTCAAGACTGAATTCAAAGAAAATTGACAGATCTGCAGCAGTGTGGAGATATTTACTGATGTTTGTATGCATCAGCCAAGCACCACAAAGCACAAGAAACACAGCTGTGTTAATATTAATTACCTTGCATTTCTTTTCTCTACATCGGAGCAACCAATGCTGTTTCTATAAATTGTGTCAGCCAGATGAACAAGGTATCTACAGAAGTTTTCCAGCTGAGAAATAGTCTTGTCTCCTTTTAGATTAGCAAACCACTGCTTAGGAAAGCAAGCAATGACCTAGACATAACAGAAGAAAGTTTTTTTTTTTTTTTTAAAAAAAAAAAAAAAAAAAGAGGAACATTTTAAAAAATATCCGACATAATTTGGGAAATCTGCCAGGTAAAACTGCAGTGACAAGGCCCAATTAAGTGAAACTGCAACAAACTTGGAACAAAAATACCACAATCCAAAATTCAAGTGGTAAAACCACTAAAATATACACTGTGCCTACACTATCTACAGGCAGCAACCAGGGAAGGTTCATTTTTCAGTTGACCTCTTAGTTTTATTTATTTTTTATCTGATTTTTCATTGACATTGCAATATCAAAGCCAAGACTGCCTGAAATTCAAAAGTGTCGTTAGGTTTTAACTACACTTCTCCATCAACTGCAATTTCCAAATTAAAAAGTATTTTCAGTATTTTGTTCATTTTCACTTACACTTTGAGCTTTCTTAATGCTGTCATCTCCATACTCTGAATTTTGAAAAGCCATAAGAATGTATCTATTTAGCAGACCATCTATTGACAGTTCCTGGAGAGTTTTGTTCGAAAGGATTCCACACCACTGGAGAAAGTTTCCTAATAACTGGAAATACAATACAGAGGAAAAATAAGTATTTAAAGTGTACTGACAAGCAATACTGTAAACAATCACAGAATGGTTGAGGTTGGAAGGGACCTCTGGAGATCATTTAGTCCAACCCCCTGCTCCATCAGGGATACCTAGAGCACGTGGCACAGGGTGGCATCCAGGCGGGTTTGGAAGATCTCCAGAGAAGGAGACTCCACAGCCTCTCCGGGCAGCCTGTGCCAGGGCTCTCTCAAAAGCCTCGAATGCATCAGTATGGCCAAGGTCAGTAAGGGAAACGTGCCTTTTGATAGCTTCAGAACTGTTCAGAGCCCAAAAAGGACCAGTATAGAGTGGTCCGAGTTCTCACAAGAGACACCCTCGCTGCCAGCGTGGTTCTGGCTGCCGCTGACCTTGCTCCAAGGAGAGCTGCCAGCAGCACAGGCAGCTCCCAAGGAATCAGCAAGGTGAGCGCCGACCTCGCCAGCCTCTGCATCTGCTCCTCTGCGAGGCTGCAGGTGACTCGCTAGCCCAAAGTGGCTCAATTTTAATGCTTCTCCGAAAGAAAGCAGGGAGAACAGCCTGACCCCCCCTGGCTCCCACAGACAGGGCCAGAAGCGGGAGATATCACTCCCAAAAAGGAACACAAGCTGTAAACAAGTAATCCATTTGTCTTAAAATCAGCATTTTAATAAATGAGCTTTGTGTACTTTTTGCTCTAAGAGAAAGTTCATTTTTGTTTGAGTGGGGAAAAAAAAACTCCAAGTTCTTCAAGGAAATGAGGTGATTCAAACCTACTCAGAGCAGAGGACGGTCTCTCTCACTGCTGTAATCTTGTATAGAAAATTCCAGAGAGAGTTCTGTTTGCAAGATCAAGGAGGTCAGCAGCATAATCCCCACTTCTCTCATGCACTCCCTTTTCTAATCTCTCATTTCAAATAAACTACAAAAGCTTTAGTTTCTTGCACACCTTTGAAAACTCTGTAGTACACATTCCAGGTGCACAGGCTTTTTCTTCCATAACCATTGTTTCAAAGAAACTAGAATTACAACTGCTCTCACATTTTACAAATAGTAACTATTTTTACAAAAGCAGACATTAACTTGGATAAAAAGGCAGTTTTTTCTTATGAGCTTTTTCCACACTACTAAAAAAACCAAACCAAGTTCTGTCATTCCCACACAAGTGGGATAAAAGCACCACGTACTCTATTCTGACAAATGCAATGACATCCTTTCAGAAAAGAAAAGCCCTGGGTTGCTGAGAGTGCCGAGTAAAGTCACAGTGCACAATGTAAAAGGATGTGCTTCTGCCTTTTAAAGCAGCCATAGTTGGTTATTAAGGGAAAAGAATCCTACCTGTTCTTTCTAAGAATTCTGCAGCTCTTTCTATTAAGGTTAAGACAAAATTCCATCTGTCATTTTCCAAAAATATGAACAATACTTTGTTGCTACACTGTCTAGGTCAAAATTATACCAGATCTATTTACTGACTTACCTTAACAGAAGACCAAAACTGACGTTGGAAAAACAAGTATGGACCAGAGTTCTTGTTTTCTAAGACGCTGGAAAGTAAGAGATTTCTTTATTGAGCAACCAAGACCACTTCTGTCTCACGTTTGCTGACTTCCTCCTTCCCACACACACATTTCCTTAAATACTCCCCTCCTCCGCCCAGCCTGTTCCTGCTTAATGCTCACAGCACAGTAATGATACAGCTCCTGTATCCAGCCAATGAACCATATAGAGTGTGGGAGAAAAAAAACCCTAGAACCATGGAAAAAAGGCATTGACTTGCAAATAAACAAGTCTAACACCATATTTAAAAGCAAACTTACTTTTTCGGATATAATGGCATGAATACATCGTCATCAAGTGTTCTCCTCATTCTCAGCAACAATGCCTTTAGAAGCATCTGAAATAGATGATTTTTATTAAGTTTCCAAAGCACTGCTTAATAGTTAAACTCTGAAATTTTGATTTTAAAAGCAACAAAGTACATTTGTGACTACAAGTGGCTTAGTCATTTTAATCTTCAGCTAACTTCCCCCTGCCCCACATGTGCACTCTTTGCCCCATCTCCTGTTATTCTAAAAGCCCCACATTTGTAGGCACCGCATTCAGCACTGCACTCGAGCTTACGGTGTTAAGTGCCGGCAAGCAAATTATGACAATGAATTTGGAAAGGTTACAAAGATCCCCAAAAGAAAAAAAATAACCACCTTAGCTGACCTTTAAAGCAAATGACAAGCTACACCTCAGCACCACTCCTCTTTTCATCTCTACCATAAATTTTGGGCAGATTTCACTGACCAAGTTCCTCCTCCTAATTTACTGTTACCTGAGTCTTTGTAACTAGCCACTAGAACATCAAACAGCAAAATTCTTCTTGATTCACACTAAATATGCCATGTTTTCCAGAACACTGTCTTACAAGATATATTCCGGTTCCTTAACTCATCCCCCACTTACTTGTGTATTTTTGTTTTCAGCATTCACCACTGAAGGGTATCCATCTACTAATTTCTGTACCATTGCTACCATTCTAGATGTTTGTGTTGTAGAAAAAGGATCCCATATATTTTCAGAAATCACTGCAAGAGATTAAAGGATTATGCAACTCAGAAAATACTCAGGAGCAGGCAGCAAGGCAGTCAGACACATGACAATCGAAAATATGCTTTTAGATTTTGCTGGTTTGCGCAAACAAGCACTTAAGAAAAAATAAAAGCCACAAACAAACAAAAACAAACAATCAAACAAAAAAAAAAAAACAAATGATACCTGTTAATTTAGGGAGAACAACTCTCTCCACAATGGTAGGCAATAGCGAAATATCAGCATCATCTTTTTCTTGCTCCTGTTCTTCACAGCCATAAAACAGCAGCGATTCAAACCACAACATAGTCTCAAAATCTCGACACTTGCCCTAATAAAGTGAAGTGGAGAAGAGGTCAAAATCTAAACCAGTGATTTGTAGTCAACAAGTTTAGTTTTAAATAAATAAATAAATATCAAACTTGCTGGAGCTCCAAAAGCTTTAAAATTGTCTACAAAGTGTTCCAGGCAAGGTTCAAAGTGCTACAGCAAGGTAAGCTGTATTTGAGAAAAGTAACAATTTGAAAATCCAGTCGTTTTCCTATAGGTGTCAGGTATTCACCTACACCTGGACCAAAGGAATCTGGTGTGAGGATGGCAAGTTAGTTCACCTCCTGCCTTGGTTCCCCCACTTCTGAAGCATTGCAATTTCTTTCAGAAACACAGGCAAGCCTGATTACTGACAAGTGAATGGAGAAACAAATTTTTCCCCAACCAAAATCTGGCTTTGCATGGGGTGCAAGGTTAATTTTCCATAGTTCAGCCAAATATGCCAATTCATTCTGCAACTGCATTATCACTAGAACTATACAGTAGAAACAACAGAAATAGGACTTCTTTGGACAGTTGTTGTCTTGCAAATTTTAACTTCTAATTATCCCTGAGCCAAATAAGAGCCCACAGATTAGGCAAAAATGAGAAATACATAGTCTACTTACATTACACAATTATGCTTTTCTGGATTTAAAGGTCTTTTGAATCTTGTATTTTTTCTATTTTAGCAAGATGCTTAGAGACAGTAACAGGCAATGGAGAAACAAGAGCGAAAACTGTTAAGATCTAAGAATTCAATACCTTGTTGCCAACTAACTTAACCTGATTTCGCAAGCCTGGAAACTCACATAAAAGTAGAACATGGAGAACAGAGTATTCACAAAAAACAGATTTAAGTTGAATGAGGACAGCTTTCATAGATTCCCCCGTTTAGACAGAGTAAATACCCTGAAAGTCCTCAAAAGACTCTTGCTTCCCTTCCTCTGCAGTCAGAGGAGAAGATTGCCTTCCACACATGCTCTTAGTGGCTAAGAAAACACACCTCTGAAGAAAGGTGAGAATCAGTCGTGTGAAGCAAGCTGAGATATATAGATGACTTTGCCCACTTTCAAAGCTAAGTTTAATCTGCCTCATTAGTGTTCCAGGCAAGGTTCAAAGTGCTACAGCAAGGTAAGCTGTATTTGAGAAAAGTAACAATTTGAAAACCCAGTCCTTTTTCTATAGGTGTCAGGTATTCATCTGCCTAACAAAATAGGGCTCATGGGGCTTGACCCACCTTCTCCCAGGCTCCAGTAAAAACTAACATGGCAGAAAAAAAAAGTGAATTCCTACAAGCACTGTGAAAATAAGCTACTTACTGGAGCCAAAACACTCTACGAGGGCTTTCACTGGAGGAAAAACAAAGTGGCAGTCAAGTTACCTGAACAGTTTGTCCCAAGGCTGCTCACACCAGCACATAGACAGGCTGGACTATGAACTTGTGCCAGGGGTACTGGGTTGCAGCAGTGCTGCTTCTCCCGTGCTCCCTACTTAATAACTGGGCAACAAGTACTATAGGAGGACTTAAACCGTCAGGCAAAGATCTACAGACCACAAATTGGCAAGCAAGGGAAGCCAAGGGTACATAGTGCAGGGCCATGGGTCATAAGCTAACAAAAGAACCAGCTTTAGTTCCACTTCATCTGAAGAAACATCTCCAAAATCTTTGATTTCATTTATTTGTAAACCTAAATGTAATACTGAAGAATCTGCTTGGCTTTTTGGTCTATTGCACACCTGAGAAGGCTCCCTCATGTGTTGAATTTAACTCTGGTCTGCCGGGAATTAGGAGGAAAAAAAAAAAAAAACTCATAAGGAACAGCCAAGAAACCCATCAGAAACGCAAATCAGCCCAAGACAAGTGTCTGTTGCAAACCTTATGCCTAGAACCTGCCTCTGGGAGGAGGACATGTCAAAGGTGCAAGTCCCTTTGTCCTGCATAATGTGAAAGAACTACTATAGAAAAGCTCACGAGGAAGTTGTTTGCACAGGAGCTTACACAGAATCACAGACTGGTTGAGGTTGGAAGGGACCTCTAGAGATCATCTAGTCCAACCCCCCTGCTCCAGCAGGGACACCCAGAGCACGTGGCAGAGGGTGGCAACCAGGTGAGTTTGGAAGATCTCCAGAGAAGGAGACTCCACAACCTCTCTGGGCAGCCTGTTCCAGGGCTCTGTCACCCTCCTGGTACAGAAGTTCTTCCTCACATGGAGGTGGAACTTCCTGTGTTTCAACCTATACCCGTTACCCGCGTTCTGTCACTGGCCACCACAGAGTAGAGCCTGGCCCCATCCTCCCTACAATCGCCCCTCAGATACTTGAACATGTTGATCAAATCTCCTCTCAGCCTTCTTTTCTCCAGACTAAACAGGCCCAGCTCGCTTAGTCTTTCCTCATATGACAAATGCTGCAGTCCCTTAATCATCTTTGTGGCTCCAACATTACCTCTAACGGAGTCCAGATAAGCAGCTGAAGTCTGATTAAAGGGTTAAACAGCTTTGGTAAACAGAGGCCAATATAAGCATCCTTATAAGAAGCGAAGTACTTTGAACGCCAAGCTTCAAACTGTGACTTAATGCAATCAATTGAATAAAAGCTTTCCAAAACATCTTCAAAAACTTTGCTGGATTCCTTTAATATGCGATCTGGTGGGGAAAAGAAAATCATGGCAATAAGTTAATCATCTTTTTCTCTGTAATACCTTTCCAGATGGACTTTGAAGCTGAACAACATAAACTTCAACTGGTGCCAATGTTTTTTTTTTTTTTTTTTAAAAAAGTCTTATTTCAAAGATTTTACTTCTGCCTTAAGTATAAAAGATAATAAAAACATGAGCACATAGGTACTACCTGGTATACTGTTTTATCACAAGTCCTGCTTTGAACATCTTATACAATGATTCCCAGCCTAGCAGCAAGAAAACAGAGTGGGTTTAACTTCAAAGCTGGCCTTGTGGTTTGAGTGGAAGCTTCTTGCAGGAGGAAGGACCTCCATGTAGGTTCCTTCCAACCTGAACTATATTATACTATTATACAACTTGGTTCATCCAGGGGCAGCAGGGCATCTCTGAGACAGGCTGACTGAATCAGCAGGACAAAGTGGTCCTGGCAAATACCACACTAAACTGCTGAACATGTGACATTAGAACAGAGTAACCATGACAATCCCTTAGCATATTTGCTGTGTTTTATCATAATTAATTTTTTTGTTTTGGGTGATCATTTTTTTCATGTATATATTTTCTCATTTACTTAGATGTTGTTTTCCTCTCACCTTTTCTATTCCCCAAGCTTAGTTTTCAGCCAGTCATTTTTGCTGTGGCCACACAGCTCTAAATGTTAAGTTACAGCAGCTCCTGCACATAACTAACATTAGTACACCCAACAGGCTGAGGGAACATTACACACTTTACACACTGGGGTCTAGAAAAGATGCTAAGTCTACAAAAGACTCAGCAGGCCCAAGGTGCATCCTGCTGCCCCACATAGCTCACTGTATGATTATGGACTAATGTAAGAGCTATGGATATTAAACGAAAGTTTTATAAATATAATACTTTTTCAAAAACTGACAAAGCTCTTACAGAAAGCTTTCATACACACGAAGTGCCAACTTACAAAAAGCAATTCAGCCACACGGAATTTTTAATCTTTATCATTTAACTCATTGAGGTTAATTACAGTACCTAACAACTCTGAACAAATGCTTTCTTTATTAAAACAGCTCTTTACTTGCATCCACAGTTTTGGTGCACTGACCAACTAAATAAATGCAAAATATTTGCCCTTTTGAAGGATCTACCTGCTTGACAATTCATCTAAATGCTTCTCTTAATCTGTTCATAGTTTGCTTCTCCACAACTAGCTACAGCACTGACTTCAGCATTCTTGTCGCTATGAAGACCAACTTGTTTACTTTAAACCTAACTGATCACTTAATTTCTCTTAAGATCTTCCACTGTGAAGTAAAAAGACGTTCTTAGAGCTCCAAATATTTTGATTTTAGTACCCTAAATCCCCATTTACTTTCTGCTTTCCTTTTCCTAGACGAAGAGCCCAGAACTCTCCTCATACACATACAAACTAACCTACATATGCATTTCTCTGCTTCCCTTCTCTGTGTTTGTTCTAATCTGATGTTCTCTTTAGCGAGAGATGGTAATAATGGTACTGGGGGTTCAAGATGAGAAGGTAACAGGATTACCAGGACTGTTTTCACAGTAACCTCTAGTTTTCTCTTTTACCTGCCACTGTCAAAACTAACTGTTCTGTCAAACTATCTGCATTCCTTCCCCCTCTCCCCCCAGAAAACCCTCAAGATTCTTGTAATTCCTTCAATGCTCAAGAGGTATTAGCTTAATTGACAACCCCATTCATTGCATCACTACAGCAAGAGTTACTTTGAGCAAACTAGTCACAAAACTGCAAATGAATTTAAAAGATGTCAGCAGTGCAAGATCTTTCTGCAATGTTTTATAGTCAACTTTGTTCACTTCAGCAAAGTTTGACAGACTATAACAAGAATCTATTGAAATGTTCTCACTGGAGTTTCACATAACTATCTAGAAACACATAACGCATTTCCTCACAAGCAACAAAAGTTTCCCAAAGGCCTGAAATCTTCAAAATTCTACATGTAAAATAATGTGTCAGCGTATAACCAATTCTCAGTAGATTTTTGGAGAATGATCAAGCATCTTCCAAACTGCAGCATGTTCCATCTCACTACAGATGGAATATTTAGTTAGCTGCAAATTGTGTAGTAGTCTGGCATAAAGGAATATTTTGATGACACTGATGATCCTACCAGGAACAATTCCTTTCCCCAAAATATGGTGAAAGAAATATGTGGGGCTACTTCTGAACTTGTTTTTTTCCTCTTTAAGTTTTTTTTTTAAAGTTTCCTTTTTAAGTAATTTTTCTAACCTCGCTCCATGTTGAAGTTTGTAATATCCGTTGAAGTTTCCTCATCATCGCTCGAAAGGCCTTCAAGGTGATCAGCCATCTTCCCAGTTTGCTCTCTTGCTTGCCTACGACGGGCTCTGAGAAGACGAAGCAGCATGAAACAGCTATTGCATATATCCCTGAACAATAAATAGCCCTGGCTAAGCTTGTCCTAATCTTTAATGTAAGGAGTAAGAGCGGCTTTCTCTACTTTGTTTTCTCAAAAAAGTGAAGGAAGAGAAGACAGCAGAGACCATGTAGGTACTGACTGGGTTTATTCTATTCTCTTTCAGTGATTTAACCCAGCATTTAAAATGGCCAATTGTTTTGTGCATTTAAATGAGAGGTGGGGTTAGTTAGGGAATGCCCTGCAAGGCATTCCAGCTTCAGTTTTTCCTTCCTTCCCTATTGCTTCTGTCTGTTTTGTAAGCTCTCCAAAAAAAAAAAAAAAAAAAAAAAAAAGAAAAAAGAAAAAGAGCAGATCTTGCAGTCTGCATCACTGTCACACAGGACTCCTACATCATTGATTAATGCATTCTGCAAGGTGGCTAAGAGTCTCAATGGGCGAGAAATCTGTGCACTCTACCTTCTGGCCTCTCTTTCTGCAGTCCGCCGCTTCACTTGTTCTTGATAGAGCGCTCTGTCTCGTCCAAAAGAATCAAGATTTGGTGCCATCAGTGCTTTATCTGTAAAAATATATTGATGAAAATTAAAATGCTTATCTACAATTATATAATGTGTTATAGGCAGTTTTATAAGAGCCCTTTATCTTTTCAAAACTAGGAAGTATTGAACTTGAAACTTGAAGTAGAAACTCAAGGTTTTCAAAAAGATGCACCCTGAAGTCTGAATTCAGAAGTCTAGAGGTTAAAAGAGGAAGTAAGGGAGTTTAGACAAATCTCCACTTGAAGTCAATCAGAAGACGATTTTCACCATACTTCACTCTTCTCCCTCTCATATCAGTGTTCAGCCATTTAAAGTCAACAGTTTTAATAAATACTACCTAAACTGAATGGTCGAGGAAAAAAAAATACCACTTATGTAAGCACGTTCAGCATTTACATCTTTTGAAAATAAAGTGAACAAAAAAAAAAAAGAAGGCAGAGTGACCAGAGATAAAAATGATATGATGTTTCAGAGTTCTATTCATATGGTATGTCACTGAAATAAAGTTTGTATTCTTCAGATTACCCAAAATTTCAGATGTATCAAATCTACTAGAAGATAAATCATCTCCCCTCTCCCTTTTAAACAGTAATTCAGTTATAAGTCATTTTGACTACAGAAAATATAGCTGATCAGTGAAAATGATCAGAGATCAGCAAGCAGGCCTAAAGATGTTTCCAGTTTATCTTTTCTTAGGTAAGTTCTTAAAAGTGGATTAAATATTAGCCAGCACTCAAGTCCACGCATTAAAACCAAAAGTTTAAACAAAAATCCACCCAAATTACAGGGGAATATTTACATGTACTAACTAAACTGATCTACAAAATCACCATAAAAATAATAATAAAAGTATTTTAGTTCCATAAAAGAAATACTAAGAACTTTAATATATCGATAAAAGCCATCATTTGTCCAATTTAAAAAAAAAATGCTACTCAAAACTGAGCTACGCATCTTTTTTTAAAAAAAGGAAACACTGGCAGACAATTTTAAATCCACTTCTAGCTCTTAGCAATATTCTGACACATTGCATGAAAAGCAGATTGCCTGTGTCTGCAACAAACATCAAATCCAGCCTGGCATCTATTCCTGGTTTAGGTGAACTGAACTATTTCCAGAGTCCATTCTCAGGGCTCCCAGATAGACAGGCAAGATCTACCTTTAAAACCCAACCTTAACAATGACTTCGATTCCTATCCCACAGTCATATCCCAGTTCAACATAGTCCATTTAAAATTCTTTTAAGGAACTGCCTTAACAGGCAGTTATACATTAGGCTTCTGGGCCTCGCAACAGCATTTGCATGATAAAACTGTAAGGGCTGCACATGATGCCTGGGGCTCCAAAAAGTCCTAAAAAGAGCACTTAAGCTGACCAGTCTTGTAAAGCAATGACCAGCTCTGATGCCCTAAAGCTTTCACACAAGATCGGTAAATTTACAAAACTTTGCACTAGGAAACAGCTTTTATTATTGAATTTCATGTCAGCAATAGCAGAAAGAAATCCATTTTTAAAAGCTGGAGGCTTGCTAAAATTGAAAGAAGGCTAATATTAATGAGACATTTGACTCATCACTTAATGCTGAACTTTACGCTCCTCCCCAAGGGAATGCATATTTTCATCCAAAGGAATGCATATTTTCATCCAAATTACTCCTGACA